TTTAAACTTAAAAAAAAAAAAAACCCAAAAGTAGAAAAATAGACAAGGGGAGAGTTTTTCTGCAAAGGATTCTATCAAAGGTCTTTGTTTCAGCAATATCTATTAAAGCAATTTTTAACTTTCTAGATAATAAGAGCTTTACAAGTCTATACTTCTGGCAACAGCAGTTCCTGAACCCGAAGCCTTTGGATGCTAGCTACAGATTCCCTGTGTGTATGTGTGAACTGGGTCACTGTTTTCAGGATCACTGTGGTTTAAACAAGCCACGAAGCCTTGTTTAAGGCCCAGCATTTGTCAGGCATCATGTGCCTAATCACCAACCTGGGCACGGCTTGTCTGAGGGCATTAGAGTTATTGGAGAGTTGTTTCCTGCCCCAATAAGTCGCATTGCCCAAATCTGGAAGACACAAGAAGCTGAACCTGTGTAGATTCATTAGACAAATGATGTCAGGAATAAACCATGGTTTAAACAAGCCATGATGAATGTACAAAAAGATCTCATATTTCCCCTGGTCAAAAGAAGACTGGAAGAATGACATAGATGAGCCCTCTGAGTACAGACAGATTAGTGTGAAAGCTGTCCACACACATAATGACTGGGTTTGCACCATCATGGGAGGCAAAGAAAGCCAAGTGGCATCTATGCTCCACCCCTCATGGTCATGGCTCTCCATGGCTTCTGAACCCAGTGCAGTATGCCACGTGGAGTAGCTTCAAACCCACCACAGAACCGTACAAGCAGCCATGGATGGAATGCAGGGAGCTGGAAAAAGAAGCAGCTGTGCTCTATTTTCCCCCATGATAATGCAAACCTGGTCATGGTTAATTTTGTTTATTAATGTCACAGAACAGCAAGATTAATAAATTTTAAAAATAACAATAATAAAACAGAAATAAAAGTAATACATTTTATACAGCATCTTCACTCAGGAAAATAACATGCTCTTTTCCTTTTCCTTTTTTTTTTTTTTTTTTGCACTGCAATCATAAAAAAATTGGCAACCGTTCCAGCAACTTAAGAAGATGCATCACTTAAACCAACTGATACAAAGTAGAAGGATTATTAACACGAAGATCTCTTATTAATGGTATAATTACTTTCTCTCTGAATTCCCTGAAAAAGCTGCAATATAAGAAAACACATTCCATTGACTTTACTGCAAAACATACCCATTATTCTACAAAACCATGCCCATTTGTGATAAAATTTTGGGTGAAATTGGGCACAAGTGCACCTGAAACTTTGAAAATGGTAAGGAAAGCTTATGGAAAAACCGCACTATCATCTGCACAAGTATACTAATGGCACAAGGTCTTCAAGGAAGGATGAGAAGGTGTTGAAGATGAACAACATTCAGGATGCCCCACTTTGTCAAAAAAGGAACAGAATGTGGATGCAGTGAGGTCTGTTCTCAACCATGATAGATGGCTCACTATCAGAAAGATTGCAGAGGAAACAGGAATTACCAAGTCAATTGTTCATGAAATTGTGACTCGGGATTTGAACATGAGAAAAGTGTGTGCAAAACTTGTTCCAAAGAACTTGTCATCTGCTCAGAAGGAACTCCATCAATTCATTTGCCAAGACCTGTTGGCCAATTTAGAAAGAGCCTGATTTTTTGAGTCAAGTGATCATGGGAGATGAATCCTGGGTGTTTGAGTATGATCCCAAGACAAAGAAACAACGTTCAGAACGGCATGCATTCTCGTCACCTCGCCCCAAGAAAGCTTGAATGAGCAAATCAAAAGTCAAATCAGTGGTCATTGTTTTTGGATTCAAGTGGAATTGTCCGTAAGGAATTTGTACCTACTGGTCAAACTGTGAATCAAACATTTTACCTGGAAGTTCTTGGTCGCTTGAGACAAAGAGTTTTTCATGTGCATCCTGAGATCAGTTCAACTTGGATCCTTCCTCGTGACAACACACCAAGTCACAGTGCTTTGGCTGTCAGAGTATTTTTGGCTGAAAAAAAACATCACGGTGGTTCCCCATCCATCCCACAGCCCCAACTTGGCTCCTTGTGACTTTTTCATACTCCCAAAGATGAAGAATGGTTTGAAAGGTCACCATTTTGGTAGTGTGGATAATATCCAAAGAGCCACTACACAGGCTCTGAACACCATCCCACTTGAAGACTTCCAGAGATGCAATGAAGAATGGAAAAATCTCTGGGAACGTTGTGTACACTCACAAGGTGCGTTCTTTGAAGGAGATTATGATTAGTTGTAAAATTTTTCAATAAATGAATTTTTAAAATACCATTCTCAATACTTTCTGGACATACCTCATATATATTGCACAAAATAAACCAAACAAACATGCCCACTAAATCAAAACGGATGATGCAGTCCTACGCTTTATGGTATCTAACTTCCTGATGGTTCTTCCCCGATATGCCACTGACCCTCCATTCATATGTTAATCTTACCTCCTTAGTAATAATGTGCCCAATTCATAATTACCTGGACAATCAGTGTATGATTTATCTGCTGCACATGATCAGCCATTACAAAGCAAAAGTGTTTCTTCCAAAAGCACCCTATCTGTTCAAAGAGATTCCATGCAGAAACAATCAGCATTCAGTGGTTAAGCAGTTACTCTTACCTAAAACTCAACTGCTGGGAATGCATAACCAGACACTGAACCAAGCAGTCTTTTAATTGAACCAGGGGAAAATCATGAAGTAAACAAAAAGAGCAGAGTAATAGCAACACAGCCAAGAAAGAAACTCAGATAAATCTAACATGAAGTAAATAGCAATAAATATAGCTAAATATCAGGTTAAAGTTGTCTGGAATGATGTTTTATGTCCTTTTTTTTAACCTGTGGCTTGGATTGCATCCAGTGATAAAGTTGTATACTTGGCAGATGCTCCTGAGATAAAGGTTAAGAGCCAAGAATCCACACCAATGTATAAGCTACTCATTGGGTTATGACATGTTGATGATGTTAAGAAATAAAACCAAGTGAAATGATGTATGAAATAAACTCTTACACAAGACTCCTCAGGCAGGTTGTTAATCAGGGTAATACACGGATCCCATTCAGGCTGCTTTGAACACACATGCTCATCTGTCTGTGTCAGTGTGCCCTCACAGATAAACCTTTCTACCACCTATGATACACTGCTTTTCTATGAAGTTACTTCACACATTAGACTGTAAGACACCAAGTGATGAGTAATGAAGAGATGAGCAGCAAATGAGTTCTGTCCATGTTCTACCCTCAATATTTTTTTATTGAGCATTACAAAAACTAAACCATAGAGACAAAAAGGATAAAATAAACTAAAACATTACAGTGATCCCCTTATATTAACATAAGCTAGGGATAAAACAGGAATAGGCTAAATAGTCTTTTGTTAAACCTTTCTGCTTGTGCCTGTGTCAGCAACATAACTGGATTTCAAACTTGACACCTGGAGCCAAGATATTAGTTCCATGAATACTGCGGGTAGAGAACACACTCAGGAAGGTGACATCTGCTATGGAAATGTGATCAAGTGACTAATCTACTTAGGGAATTTATTATGGTGCTATTGCTCCTCATACACTGATAAGACACATGATGTTCTCCCGGATCTGTTTTAATGTCAAGTTTTGTTTTCAAAAACGGGAGGGGGGAAATTGCACTTTCCTCTTGGGTTGGGACTTGTGTATGCCCTGTACTTCCAACATATGACATGACAATAGAGGATGTGGCTTGTGTCCTAACATTGCAGAGTTCTCTATGTATTGTGATGCAAATGACACAAACTTTTTTGTTCCTTCTCACTTCTGAACTGCACACCTAGGCATGTGTTCTCCTCCTGAACTATTGCTCCACATAATGGATTTGAAAGATTCAGTAGCCAGGGGGCCTTTGTAGGACCTTTCAAGAAAACACCTTGAAATCCTAGATCTTGTATAAATCTGTGAAAAAATAACAAATACAAGAGCAACTGAAAACACAGATTCCTATGATGTAATTGCTCACGTAATGTGCTCACAAATTGTGGTTGAATGTTGCACAAAGACAAAATGTGTGTGGCTTGAATACCACTTGGTTTGAGAAAAATGTTACATAGTATAATGATCTGCACCAACTCGAGATCCATTTTGGAGTTATGAGTGAGCACATATGACTAGTCTGATTCTGTGCATGTATGGACCTCTGCAGAAATATGCAATAGCAAAAGCACCTAAGGTATTTGTTGTTGTGGGCATCATTGCAATACATTTATACTCCACCTTTCTTTCTCTTGCTAGGAACCCAAAGCAGCTTACAAGAGTCTCTTCTCCATTATATCCTCAAAACAACCCTGTGAGGTAGGTTAGGTTCAGTCTCTTTGAGAGGCACAGCCTGCCCAAGTGACCCCCATGGCTGAGGGGGGACTTGAACCAGGAACCCTGAGTCTTGTAATCTTCACCAATACACCACACCAACTTCAGGTATTTATTTACCTAGAATATGCACATGTGTTAAGACCCCCTATCTCAAAGAAGAGGAGGAGGAGGAGGAGGAAAGAGGGGAATGTATACTGTTGTAAAGTTTATAACCACACTGGCACTAGTGTGTGACATGACAGAGCAAGACAAATGGTGTCAAATATTTGATGATGTTACATATCACAATACTTTGCCTTCACACAATAAACTTAATTAAGGTTTCAGAAGAAGTTTGCCTTGCACAATCAGGATTAATATAAGTTCACACCACAATAATTGGTAACAGGTGACACAAGTAAATGCAAATACAAGAAACTGTGGGATTAACTGGCATTACCATTAGAAGGCACTTCAGTGTAGATTAGGCTAGCACATACATTTTTGTGACTGGCTGCATCCTAAGATCTAAGTATACTTGAACACAAAACTGTTTAGTTGTTTTTCTCATGCAAGAAAGGTGATTTTACCCTCACAAACAAGGTTATACAAATGAGAAATGCCACAGGTATCACCAGAAGATAAATTATAAAAACTATTTTATTTCAGTCAAGAGAAGGAGGAATTAAGCCCAAATGTCAATGCAAATAAAGCTCCACAACAAAAGATTTGTGATGTTCAGTACCATAAATAAAACATGTTAAATTATCCAGCTTCATCTTACAAGTAATGCAGTTTCAAAAAATGAACATATAGTAATAGTTAGGTTGCCACTCTCTTACATGCATATAAGCAAGTATCTGGATTTAGACTTGAAATCATTTTTCACTTTTTCTAGGAAGTCAGAATCTGAATGAGAATGTCAAATGTATGTTTCAGGTGAACAAAGGGATCTTTGACACAAACCCCTAGTGCAAGCCCCTTGTGAAACAGGGTGTGTGCTACTGAAGTATTTTGTGGATCATATGAAAAGCCACAATTAAATGTCATTCTCCTGTCTATGGAACTTAAATACTGAGTAAGATAGAACACACTGGCATTTGAAGGCCAGTCATAAAGCTTCGTTTTGATTTTAAAGTATGGCAAGTTCTATCTTTAAGCTACTGGGAATTGCAAGTACAAAATGGACCTAAGGACACAGATTGACGGGAATTTCCAGGGGGCATCAATTATATAACTTAATATAAGAATGTCTTGACATCCAATCTTGGCTGACAGCTGTATGTGATTAAATTAGAATAATCTGGTAATGAATTAGGCTTTTAGGGAGGCTCACGGGGTCCCTGGAGTGAAGGGAAACAACTCATCATTAGCAGCAGATTGTCACTCCCAGAAGTAGCACAACTCAAGTCACACAGGAATACAAGCCTCGACTCAGCAAGTTGATACACACCTTCCCAGACCAGCAGGGGCTGTGAAACAGGCAGAGGCAGCACATTCAGCTCCTAAAGAGGAGGTGGAAGTTGGGGGAGATAACTCCTGACGTCATTCACAAGCAACTCTTTTGGCTCATGTACAGAAAGGCTATGATAGGTTCTGAAAAAAGCTGTGTCTGTGCAGAGCTGTAACATAAAGCTTTCCCAAGCAGAACCAGAAAGAATTGAGGAGAAAGTGTGAGATAAAAGTATGGAAGGGCAGAATGCAAGTTTCTTCAAGAGAACTGAAAGCAGTATATTGCCAGTCATCGTTTAAGTCAAATAGGTTTTACACATTTTGGTAGTGTTTCAAAACCTCTTGGTCAAAACTGTACACACCACAGAAAACGATACTTCTGTCATCCAAAACTCTAAAAACATCTGCCTGCAGTCAAGAAAAATAAAACAGTAAGTTTCTCCTATCAGAAAGATTATAGAAAGATTGCCAAGAGAGATATTGCCATGACATTTCATAGAAAGAGCTGGATTTTTAAAGTTAAATTCTTTAAATACTTTTTTCAAGTATTGCAGGATTTAGAAGATGATAAATGGTGTGACTGAGTAACGTATTATAATTCCTGACCATATTCTTCAGCCTAATAATTGCAGAATGCAGCACTGAGATTAGCCTTGTTATGAGTTCTTTTGTTCTTACTAAAATTCGTATTTCATGCATTCATGTGATATTAAGGGATATTACTTAAGGCAGTGATTGGACTTGCACTACATCCAAAAACGGCAGTTTAGCTAAAATTCAGCAGCATGCAGGACTGCTAAATTTACATAGAGAAACATTGTGAGGGGAGTTTCCAAGTGAGAAGTGTAAATTCAATTCTTGCAGAACTTTGTTCATTAATGCTTGAACCTTATGTAATGAAAGTGTTGCATAGTTTATTATTAGCTTCTGATGAAAGTCTAGCAATGCAGTTCAGCAGTTCTGAGGATGATCAAGCACCAGTGGCAAAAAGAAAAATCTGAAGAAGAGGCATAACTTTTAGAGTTGAAAGATCAGCAAGTACAGCCTGGAATGAAAAGAAAACATGCCTCATTATATTTCTATTTGAGAAGTTAACATTGCAAAGTTAATGAATAACATATCCTTTAGTAATGCATAATTTCAGTAACAACTACTGTTTCTGTATAAAGAATTTGTTTTGATTAATATTTAATTCACAATCTTTACTAAGCAATGATGCCCCCTATGTAAAGGATCAAGTCAATTTTTACTTTATCTAACATTTCATTTAGTATTTAACTTGTGACATAATGCTGTGATTTTAAAATTGTTTTGGCTGAGTCACTCAGGATGAAAGTAACATTTTATTATAATTAGGTTTTTTGACTAGAGTTTATTTAACTTCTTTCAGAATAAAATGATTTCACCTTGGATACAGGCATTTTGATAGAGCTGTGTTTAACATAAGGAATCATGTCCAAATGAGCTACCTTCATTTTCCAGCCTGGAGATTTTTGTAGACTATTGGTCTGCTACATAATATTCCAAACTTCATGACACTTTTAAGAGTTTGAGAGAGTGGGAAGAGGGAATTGTAGGAGGATCTGGTTAAGGAAACGATGTTCTGTCCAGTTAGCATACACCAGCAGGTGTGCTTACATGTGTGAGCAGCTAAACAATCCAGGAATGTGTCCAGATCTAGATCTCTGGCTTCCTCTCTCCCCAAAGTCAGAGAAAGAACCCATGATTTGTTCTAAGGGAGTTTCTTTGGTTTTATGAGAGAGAAAAGTGGAGGTCTGAATTTGGATGGAATAGAGAAGAAATACCTCTGAGTCATTTAGCCACTCCTGCTTGCAGAGGAAGTAATTGGGTACTAGATACCAGCACACTGCCTCATGCACAACAACCCAAGGTTTATATTGGATTGAGTCTGGGGAGCATCTTCTCGCCATGTTTGCATCTCTATTCACTATTTTTGCAGGTGCCATCACATGGTTGAACTGATTGCTATTGGTACTAGGGAATTTTTAGTGGTGGCTCCTTGTTTGTAAAATTCTGTTCCTTGGCAAAATGTATTTATCACATTTAAGCTGTATGAAAATCCCTAGATTTCCAAGCAGTTTACAGGAAAGCATATATAAAACAAAGGTGTATATGAAATATGTAATATCTGCAAACAGATTCAAATAGAATCTGCATCAGATTCAAATGTTTTAGGACTAGAAAAGATGTGCTGTGTTTTTTTCCAGCAGACTTTTAGATCATCAGATTGGATCAGATTGGGAACTTTTGCTTTTATAATAATGCATACAAAGTTACATGCTTAATAAATATAACCACTCTGTATTATTTATGTGATATGTTAGCTGAAGACTCCAGATTTTGAGAATTTCCTCATCATAAATTATTTCTTATTCATTTAAAGTTTTTATATGCCACAAAATTAACACTTATATGCCCTGGAGAGTAAAAGAAGGGGATGAATAATTCTTTAAAATATAAATCAATGAGGGTGCAATCCTTAGAAAAACAGAGAAGGTGACTGTTTGTGTATTTTGCTAAATATGTTGCTTCATTGTGCCTGCTTATCCACAATTATTTTATAATGTTTAAAAGGGTTCAACATCATAAAAGAAAATTATGTAACTTTCCAGCTGTCACTGTTCATCCATTTATTTATATAGGGTTTATACAGATTAATTTATCTGTAAGAAATAGAAATAGAATCTATTTATATAAATTTATCTATAAGTTTTGCAGCCCCAATAACAAAATATCAAGAAAAAGGCAAGGACCAAGGCAAGATAAGCACTTGCGTGAGCATTACACAAATGTTAAATATCACTTAAAAGTAAGTCAAGGGACCAGCATGTTCAGAATTGAGTCCTGAGAAGATAATTCTGTAGCAATGTATAGCAGAACAATTAACTTGCTTTACTACAGTTAAAACAATCCTGAATGTTTTAAATCAGTAAAGCTGGCATACAGTTTCAAAGTAAAATTGTCTCAAGTGTAAATTTAGTTAAATATCAGAAGATATTTTAACTAAGTTCCAAGAAAAGCAAAATTATAGAAAATATATAGATTTAGAGAGGCTTACAGTAAGACAGCTATGCAGCAAAACCAATGCATGCCTACTCAGAAGTGAGTTCCACTGTTCAATGGACTTCTTAATCAGTGAGCATATGAGCCATCTGGATCAGACCAAGGATCCATCTAGTTCAGCATCTGTTCATACATTGGCTAATCAGCTGCCCAAAGGATTCCCATAAGTAGGATATGAATGCAACAATATCTTCCTGCACGAATATCCTACCAACTGGTGTACAAATTTAGATTGTGCCTTAATACAATAGTTTGGTTTATTTATTCAAGTATTTATCAGCTGCCTTCCTAGACCAAGTCCACCCAAGGTACCAAACAATATACAGGCAGAAAAATAAAAGGATAATAATATAACAAAACTTGAAAATTAAAAAATGCAAAAACAGTACATTAAACACCAACATAATTAAATGCATCAGTTATGTGCCACTGGAAACATAAGACTTTTCAACCCCTTTTTTCAAGGTATAATTGAGGGTGCCAAGCAAACACCTGCTGAGAGGGAGTTCTGTAAGTTGGAGCTCACCCGGAAGAATGCTCTGTTCCTAAAGCCTACTAATCTATAAGCTTTTAATCCTGGGACTCATCCTGAAGCTTATATGGTCACAGGCAGTCCTTCAAATAATGTGACTACAAAAAGTTTGGACCAGGAATGGAGAATTGCCAGATTATGGCCTGAATTTTGCTTGCTAGCCTGGCACATTCAAGCCCATTTAATTTTGAACAAGGCTTCTTACCTTCCCCAAAGCCCTGCCACCCTCAAAAAGGAAAGGTGACAAGAGATTGACTGAGCCACAACTCTGAGCAGTGCTCACTGAGGTCACCACTCAATTGGCTTTGTTCCTTCTTCCTCATCCGTAAGAGGGAAGGGGAAAGAAGCCAGCCTCTTTCAGCAGGTGTCTGAAAGAGCACTGTTCACCTACCACTTGCCATCCCAGTTGGGATAAGCTGGGACTGAATGCTTAGTTGAAACCAGTAAGTGGCATTTCTCTATTCCCTTTTCTCTGCCATTCCAACTGAGACAAGTGGTAGATGAAGAATCTGTGCACTCATCCACCAATTAAAGGAGTGGTTCCCATTCTCCTCTGGTTGAGGAGAGGAACAAAAGGAGTGGTTGATACCCCTCTGCAGTTTCATCCTACTTTCCTAAAATCCTAATTTAATACCACGAATAATGTCTGTGCTATCAGTGAATGGCTAGAAAAAAGATCATGGGAACATGGTAAATATATCAATGAAAATGTCAACCTAGGGTGTACCAGTTGCAAAAAGGTAAATTCCATTATTAGGAAAACAATAGAAAATAAAACAGCCAATAATGTAAATAGATAGGAAGAAAAAATTCTTCACTCTCTCAGAATATCAGAACCTGGTAACATCTAATGAAGCCCATTAGTGAGAAATAAAGCACGTTTAAAAAAATACTTCTTCCTAAAGAGTCAAGTTAAAGACACTCATGGCAAGAGATTTGATCATTAAGAATAGAGAGAGATGGGCTTTTGACAGGCACCACACCATGGTGACTGCATTGAAACTGGGCTGCCTGCACATTGTCAGGATAGACAATTAGTGTAAGGGAAATGCCAGTGGTCAAGATAACTGTAAGGAACATAATCATAAGATAATCATAAATGCTATTGGGAAATGTGGTCATGAGGTCTTGCGAAGCTTACATTGCTAGGTAAAATGTTAAGGAAAAGAGCCCGCACGGTATCATTCAGATAACCTGTCCTCTATTTAAAGGAGAACCTGGATATTTGTGAAGGATACAGTATGCAAGTCTTTTTGTGTTAATACTAGAAACTGTAAGGATTGGGGAACTAGAGTGGAAAATGAACATCTAGTTATAGTAGAAATTATGTGGAACACACAAAATCCTATATTAGGGTTTCTGATGTGCAATATAGTCTCAGCTATATTTCATAGAAATAAATGGTCAGAAAAATGAAGCATGAGGCAGTTTTGTTAATTTCTGGCAAGCCTTCTAGCCTAATTTGAACAAAGTGACTCTAGAAATCACAATTCTGAAACCAATTTCATAATTGGAAGTCCAGAATTCTGCCCAAGTTGCTTTATTGAAATGTTGTTTCTATGGCTTTACAGAACCTTGAGAGAAAGAATTGGCAACTGAATTGACCTTCTGCTTGAAAAATTATCTTAAGAAACACTGATATTTAGATTTAGCATAGTTGAATTATCTTAGCTATAATTAGCAATGACCCCTCCACAATTGCAAATTAATTTATATTGTGGTTGTGATGGACAGCTCAATGAAAATATCAAATCAAGTGTATGTCACTAGTGAAAAAGCAAGCTTAGGAATAGAATTCAAAACAAGGGAAGCTATATCATAATGCCCTTAGAAATGTTTGATGTGGCCACATTTGATGTGGACAGTTATGGTTGCTCAATCTCAGAAAATCTCAAAAAGGAAAAGCAAATATCTAAAAGATCTGAGAAATTTCTTTACAAGAAAAGGTTCAGTTATTTGTTTAGTTTCAGGAAATAAAGAATAAAAAGATTTACAAAATGAGCATTTTGATAAAGGCTTGGTGAGGAAAGATGTTTTTCTACGATAACTCTTTCCAGAAGGGCAGGAACACCACATTTATTATAGTATGAAAAATTGTACAATACACTCCACAAAGATGAATCTGATGAAATTGACATAAAAGTTTATCTCATAGTAAATATCTTCATGATGCCACAATACTTTTGGCTGTTTTTGCTCCTACCCTTCTGGAAAAAATTATAGCAGAGAGAGAAAGGGAGCCATGTGGGCTTGGGGAATGCTGGGAATTGTAAGGCTTTTTTCTGTCTAAAGATGCATAGAATTATATCCTCACTCTGTTCAAACAGGAGTTTTCTTTATTCTGCAACAGTAATATAATATTTGAAAATAAAGTTTGAGAAAAAGGAAAGTTCTGAATTAAAGCAAACTGTAAAGGAGTTGTAAACTGGGTTCACACAACAGTTAAGCCACAGTGGTTTACAGTGTTTTTTGAACACAGCATTTTTCCACACAGTGGCTTGCTAGCCACCCCAGCTAGCCATGGTTTGTGGTAGGGTTTAATAAACCCCCTATGGCATATGGTGTGGTCTGAATGCAGAAAGCAACCTAGAGCCCATTGGCAAAAGTGGCAGGAAGACCTGTCACTGAAGCCAAGGAGCTACCCAAAGCAGTACTTGGAGACAGTTGGGAAAGGGCTCCCTACCCGCTGCTATCAGAGGGACACTTCAAAATCCCCATGTGATCAGGCAGGTTTATCTTCTTAAATCACAGGTTCTACACACCTCTACCCCAGTGGGGTTTCCCTGAGGTTTTGCCACTTCCAGAGATGCTATCTGCTTGGACAAAATGGTAAAACTAAGGGGCCATTGGAGCTTCCTAGCAATCCTGCTCCCACCAAACTCTAAAAAATACTGCTTGGCAGGGGGGGCAATTGAGGGAATGTCATCTAAATCTACAAGGTGCAATTTGGCAAATATACTGGTTCATATAGACATGTGTCTGTTTCAAAATCCAATTCTTTTTTTTTTTTAAGGTGGTAAGGTACAAAGCATTCTTTGCAGCAGAATCCTGTATTTTTGTTTGGCCCTTAGCTGCATTCACTTTCCCAAGGGTGGATAACACAGAAGCACTCTTTTTACAGCTCAAGCTGTAGCCAGTACTAAATGGTTTGCCACAGTTCAGGAGACATTCATATCCGCAGATTCCCGGGAGTGTCCCTGAGCACAGGAGACAGAGCACAGGGGAGGAAGAAAGCACACCAGCCCTGTTGTCAGGGGTCTGCCAGGACAGGGGGATTTAACCACAGTGCATGGTTAAAATTTCCAGGGGTTTTAACATGTTGTGTGAATCCAACGGGAGTGTCACGTGTACAGAATAATGGTGCATATGAAGATGACAGCCTAATTCAAGTTTGAATCTTATACACACTTACCTGGATGCAAGCCTCATTGAATTCAAGGGGGCTTCCATCTGAGTAGATATGCATACAGTTGCACTGCAAACATTAAGTATCTCTTTTTCCCATGTAAGGTTGCCTTCGGGATAAAATGTTGCAGAATCATATTTGTGCAAATCCTTTTAAAAAACTTTTTTATTTTCTATGGGATAAATTTTACACAGGTACACTATAATCATGTGAAAAAACTAAGCAGGATTGAAAAAACCAATTCAACCATGTTTTAAAATCTAGAACTCAACTGCTCCTTCTACATGTAAAAGGAGTATCATGAGTTAATCATAAACATCCTCTGAATTTTTAGCCAAGGTAAGAATTTCAGCAGAGAGCTTCACATTGCATGCTATGTGCACATGAAGCTTAAATTACAGTGTTTGGCAACATGTCAAAAATTATTTCCATATTCTCCAATTGAAACTTATCCTTACTTCAGCTGCAGCCAATGATGTCACCTCCATTAGATTCACTGCTCGGAAAGCAAACACAGCAGCTGCCAGGACTGAAAAAGAATGCACAATATTTAGACTGGCAGCCTTCTAATTAGTTAGCATAGATATTTTGGTTTAGCCATTCTTAAGTTCAATTCAGTAATCATTTTGTTTAGAAAATATATAGATCTGATCAAGTTGTGGGGCATTTTCATTTCAAAGAAAAGCAGAATATTATTTAAAAGCACAACAGAAACAATGTGCATTTCTTAAAATAATTAAAACCTGTGTGTTGTGTTTTGCACAAAACAGAACCATTTTCCCAAGAGCATTATAGCATCTGGTATGTAGCCCCATAAACACAATTTGCCCAGTCCTTGTTTTCATGAAGGCTGTTCACATGGACAAGGCATAAACCTATATAGGCATATACAAACAGAGTCTGGTTCAGTCTGATTTTCACACCTTGAACAGAATGCAGGAATACAGTCTCTGTCTTTGTAGGTTTTTACCACAACCATATTTTGAGTATAACCACCATGGAGATTGGGCCTAATGCCAGATATAGTATCAAAACATCTAAACCAGGAAAGGGGAAGAGGTGCAGAATCACTCAACATCAATTGGCTCTATGCACTTCTCTTAATCAGCCCTTAACCTACTTTGGCTGTAATCCATCCAAAGTTAAGCAATTCTATTAGTATCAAGGAGCATACTCTAGTATTAAAATTTAAAGGATTTATTTATTTATTTATTTAGACAGCTTATATGCCGCCCCCTTTGCATAAGCCTCAGGGCGGCTTACAATCATTAAAATCCCACATATAAATACAAAAAATACATAGAATACATAAAATAGTGGAAACCGCCTGGTCAGTTTAAAATCAATAAATAAACCTTAACAATTAAAATAGTATTTAAATAAAAAGGTCTTGACCTGGCACCGAAAAGCAAATAATGACAGCGCCAGGCGGACCTCTCTGGGGAGCACATTCCATAGGTTGGGCGCCACCACAGAGAAAGCCCTCCTCCGAGGACTCACCCTCCTAATATCCTTCACGGAGGGTTCCCAGAGAAGGGCCTCTGCTGCTGATCTCAAGGGGCGGGAGGGTATATATGGACGCAGACGCTCCTTTAGGTAACCAGGACCTAACCCATCCAGGGCTTTGTAGGTGATAACCAGCTTAGCCTTCCCTAACCTGACCTGTAGCTATTTGGGATTGCAGCTCCCATCAGCCACATCCAACATGGCCAATGGTCTGGAATCCTAAGAGTTGTGGTCCAAAAAATCTGGGAGGCACCTTAATGGAGAAGACAGATTTAACTGGATGGATTGTGCCCCAGCATTGTAAACAAATAAAAAATTGATGTAAATAGCTTATGTATCCGAGAATATTGGATGTATATCTTTCTTGGCTCAGTCACTGTTTCGTCATGTTAGCTTGGAAAGAGGCTGCCAATAAGAGGTATTTATCTTGAATTGCAACAACTAAGAATATTCAGCAATGGAAGTATGGCAATTAATTGACCATTCCTTCAAGCTCTGATAAACTCACAGCCTAACTACAAACCAACTGACTGTGTTTTAATTCCTGAAGGTCAAAGAGCCACACAAACAGAATGGTGGCCTCAACAGAGCAATGGCAACCCCGCACCACCATACCCACGTAATCCACCATTCCATCCATTTTAAGGGAAATAATGCTTATCAAACCTTTTCAGGGAATTGCACCGTGGAGAGCAGCAGCTTTCTCTTTTTCCATTTCCTCTCAGTTTTTCAGAGGAAGAATTAAAGTTGTGCCCTCCTGGCAGCAACAAGCGTGTTCGCCTCTGTAGCCTCTGATAAATGTTTCACTGGTGTTTCCACCACCACAAACAGTGGCAAAACTGCATTCCCCATTACAGATCCCCCCATTAACAACAGCAACAACAACAGGAGGAGGAGGAGGAAAAGGAAGACGAGGTGGTGATGAGGAAGATGCTACCACTCACTTCCATAGTACGTAATTCCACCCATGCTAAAGCCATTGAATAAAACTTACCCTTGATACCACTCCTCAGTTTCTGGGAGGTGAAACTGTTCTCAATGCACACACAAAAACTGTTGCAAGTTCAAGTTTGCCAACATTTGGCCGAGCCTGACTGATTCCATTCTAATATTTGCCCACCTCAGAAGCACTTGGCATCTCTCAGGTGACAAGAATCAAAGAATGGTAAAATCACTGACTTCTGGTATCCAAAGAAGCCAAGTGCTACACAAGAGAGTAGAGGCAATCAGCTCCAGTGGTAGAACTGTGAAAACTGAAATGAGGTTCTTGGCGTTCTTCAGTGCTTATGTTGGCTACCACCAGGTGCAAATGAGTATACACCTGTGGCTGATTCACAGGCATCCAGGTAAGTTGGCTCTTAGAATAAATTAGATAAATTAATGCAACTGAGAAAATGGAGCAGTGGCACCTTCCTTGCCATCAACTCTCAATTCCCAATATTTAAGTCATCTAGAGTCTGAGGTTTCACCATGAATAGCAACTGATACCATGTAATTATACGTGAGAAACCTAAAGTCTCTCTCACTGGTATTATATTTTTAGTGAGAATGTAAATTCAATCTATAAAAAGTATTTTTATTACCAGCAAGAATTTCCAGAGAGTTGTATCCCAGAATTCTGTCCCATAAAAACAGGAGTTGATCTGTAGCTAAGTAACCAGAGAATGCTCGTACCATCCATTTAAAAGATATTCTTAGACTACAAGAATATGAAAAAAGATACTGTTATATTTCCCTCTAAAACACAATCACTCTAGCTTTGCCTTTTGACTTAGACTTGTTCATACAAATATCTTTGCCTTAAGATCACATCATCCTCAATCCTTAAGAAAGTTTTTTTTTCTGACACTAAATGTAACATGATACATGGAGTTCTGGCTGCATCATTCAGAATCCATTTGCTAGCTGTTGCTTAAATTTAACAGTATTACATGATACATGACTGGTGAAAGAAAGTACAGTTCAACATCAATTAGAAACACAACTTTTCTTAGAAGAGAAATATGTATGGGCATTGCATGTCAAAGCCTAATGCAATTCACTATCTTGAGCACATGCCTTGGAGAAGTAGCCTTCAATGTTCTTGGATTCAAGACCTACCTTTAGCCTAAATATGCACATTGGGACCCTCCACTTAACTTTACACACATGTTTCTATGGTGACTGTATTTATTTATTTATTTCTAAATAAACCTATACATAAAAGTCTCAGGATAATCCATCTTAGTCAGGCTCAGAACCTAAGAGTCCTTACCCATCTACTCTTTAGAGGTATCAAAGCTCTACCTGTTTTACAAGGGCAATTGTACTAGTATACCGCCTTTGTAACTCTTAACTCTTCCACACTTTGAAAAGGAATTGACTAATCTGATATTAGGGTCAGAAAGATTCTAAGGAAGTCACAGGTTCTAAAAATGAGATGTGGTTGAAAATGACATTAATGTAAAATGCAAAACTGTGTCAAGAACTATGCCTTATAATGTACAATGAGACATGGGCGGAAACTGGGGTCTCTAACAACTACAACTGTGAATTCTCACAACCTTTGCTATTACTAGTGCACTTTTCCTACACCCAAAAACCTTCTAGTGGCATGCTTTTAAAAACATACTAATAGTTAACAGTTCTGTAGCTGAACTGCTACATTTAAAGCAAATATCATGCTACTAAAGACATTTTCACCATACTGATGTCACTTAGATCAGTGGCTTTCAACCTTTCCACAGCTGGGGACCAGCAAAAACAGGAAAACCACCTCGGGGACCACTAAGGTAGAAACAAAAAGCACCACACACACAATACAGTATTCTGCATACTTGTTTCCAAAGACAATACCAAAAAAGGGGGAAAAAACAGAAACTGAGCAACAAAAAATGCCAAAAAAAAGAACATAATACTGAAATCAGTGCATCATGGCTCCCAGCTGGCTCCCACCAAGCTGTCTCTCCCTTCCCTGCCTCCCCCTCCCCTCCCAGGGGACTGGCACATCCCCTTTGACCAGGATGCCAAATGAGGAAGAGGTGGTACAGCATAGCCAGTCCCAGCACTGGTCCGCAGTGAATGGGATGCAGCCGCCCCCCAGCAGGAAATCTCCTGTGGTCCAGTGCCTGTCCACAGACTGGTGGTTGAAAACCACTGACTTAGATCTCTAGTATACTGGGCATGCAGTGTTGTACCTCACCCCAACACCCACTCATTCAATTGCCTTTTAATGAAATCTTTATTTTCACTCTCAAGGCTCCCTTAAAATCTTGTGTCTGGCTTTACCTTTAGCTCATCGTGATCTTTTCCAAGAAAAAGCACACTCCATTTACTACTACTGGTGCTTCTTTTGAAGACTATGTGCTTTGGGAAGAAAAGTTAGCCTGCTTATGAGTAACTCAGAGTAACAGTGTGGATATTTAAGAAAATGATATGTGAGTCAATAAATAACTTGAAGTTCTTGCAAGGTGCTACATGAAATTATACCTGCCAGGAACCCATCTATTTATAGGTGGTTTAAAGAAGTAACAAAGTACTTTTCAAAATGTACAAAGTGGAGTTATTCAACCACTTCAAATTCCATTAGTTTCTTTGTAATTTTGTCCCAGAATTATAAGGCTTCACTGTGTAAACCATGCATTTTTAAAAAAGGTTTTAAGTGTAATATTGGTCATGTCAGTGTTCAGACTGAAGGAAAACACTTACGGTTGTGCTCCAATTTCCCTCAGATGATAAAACAACTGTGGTAGATGAGTTTGAAGAAGGGTCTCAAACAGCAAACATAATGATACAATTCCCTTTTAAAACACACACACACAAAAACATATGCAAAATAGCACTTGTCACTTTAAAATACTGCAGTGAGAATATTTCTGAGAAAATATTGCAATTTGGGTAATGCATAAATTTAAGATGCATAAACAGTTTTAGCAAATCAGTTTGACTTACTATGTCACTGATGGTTACCCACTAAAACTCAGTTCTTATAACCCAGTTGACTTTATAGAGATTCCTTCATATTAATAGAAAGCGAGCTACAGGCATTGGACAATCAATTCTGCTATAAATGTATTCTATACGATATTTAATTCCATGAATGGTAGGCATAATAAAGCTATGCCATGAAGATGATTCCAGCATGAATTTAAATATTTTCTTAAATGCAGACATGTTTTTCTTTGTAACACATAATTACCACTCCGCCCATTTTCGCACTAAAATCAAAATAAAAAATTATCCACCAAGAGAAACCAAAATCTGTGATACATACACATTATACACTTTCCCTCTTATTCTGTATTTGGTAGTTTTTAGTAATTTACATAATTCATTCTTTCATGAAAATGATAAGCTCCCACCTTCCTACCCTAATAGCCACAAGGCATCTTATGCAGCCGTTGCTTCCTCTCACACTTTCCTCTCAAAATTTCAAGTGTATACATGCAACCCTAAGGATAAGAATCATATTTCTTTAGGCTGAAAGCTTAAAGTTTCCCAGGAATCTGTATTCTGTATCCAGCACTTCTGCACTTGTACAAAACTGAAACACATGCATAGCCTTCCTAAATCGTCCTCTTAAATTCTCATTCCATTACTACTAAACTACCTAGTGCTGCTGCTTGTTTTGCTTTCCTTGTGGCTTTGCTCTCTTTTTAATCTGCATCCAATTCATGCACATATGTAGAGATGCCCATCTTGATTTGGAGTGGACCAAGCATTTCCAAGTCTTGTTGGAAAATCCTCAGTAAGAGAGAGAACATTTCCCAAAGTTCACAACAGCACTGCAGAAACAAGTTAGAAAAGCCTTAACCTTCATTACGGTCCCCTTGAAGTAGGACATAGGAGACTGGTTGATGATGATCCAAAACTGTCAATGTAATTCACTTTAAAGTGCCACAGGCACTTTTTAAATAGGAGAAGGACCATAGGGCAGTATTAGACCTATGGTTGGTTGGTTCAGTCTCTATACTCTCTGGTTAAATGATCTTGACTGGGCTGTACTAATATTTGTCAGAAACCTTGGATTGCTAGAGCTGACAAAACTAAGCTAGCTGGATCAGTAATTTGCAAGTATAGGACAGCTGCATATACTCACATGCCACAGACAGAGAATTTATCAATAGTTCTGAGGAATTTTACACAAGTCTCATAAAGTTAAGTTGACACTGCACTTCCAGAAAAGAGTACAGTATTCATTTTTCTTTATTGCTTTATTTTGTTTCAATATTTATATTCCACCAACACGGCTAAACTTCACTAAGTATGGTTATGTTATTGCAAAAAATTACTTGGACACAGAAGATACAATTAAATTTGATCAGAATAAACTTACAGAAGGATGAGAAGAGATGGAATGAAGTCTGAAGAAATAACGCACATATATTTCACGAAATATCTGATATAACTTAGAAGGCTCGTTATACAGAAAACAAAGTGGAGCAACTGAAAGGATAAAACATTTGTTATCTCAGTTTTGTAAAACATATAACATAGTCAACTAACAAGGATAAAACTAATGATGCACATTCTAAAAGACTCCCAATCTTTTATGGAGGTATTTTTAAATATACAAAGGGTGCCATAGCTATGCAACTATCACTATTTTCTGCTTCTCTTAAGACTTATTCAGATATTGATAAATGGAAAAATTACAGGCCAGTTCACACATGTGATCATCTTGGTACAGCTAGTCTCACCACTGGTCCAGATTCACTTGAAGGCATAATTTGTATGAATTAGAGCCATCAGATGGGTTACATATAAGCAGTCACACTAATTTATGTAATGCAGGTTTTGCTTTTTGTGAGATGTCAAAGTGAAGGAATTGGACCAGACATACAAACACTGTCCACTTGAAGATGATATGTGACAGAAACAACACTTCCACACAAATCCAATCAGGTTGCTAGTTCAGAAGCAGCCTCTTGGGCATGAGTAGGGCTTGGAAACAGACTCTTTTCCCTCTAGTAATGACCATGAGAACCCTAAGCATCAATAATTTTTCAGTTCATGATAGGTAAGCCTAATATAGGAGTTGACCTGCCTAACAGTCCAATTCCCAATAATGATCTCAAAGGGCTGGAATGGAAGCCAGCTATCCACCTTAATTTCTTTCAGACCTCCAGAAATGACAGTAATGCCCACCCTAGACGCTGGTCCTCTGCAAAAGGAATTCATGAATCAGAAGCTACATGACAAAAACATTCCACATGTGCGTCTAGAATAGAAATGATTTCAGAATAAGCAACCTTCACAACATTCATAAATGAACTTCTTTACTCAGTGAATCATACACAATTTCTAGTTCTGATGCTATTAGTAAGGAGTCACTTACCATACATTGAAAAACCATGGAAAGGAATTACACCTACAAAAGAAAGACAGTCCAGTTTACTAATTGTCAGAATCGCTCATGATTGGAGGAAAAAACAGGTTTTGTTTCCACAAAACATTTAAGTACATCTTCAACTCTACGGATGTGAGCTAATAATTGTTTTCCTACACAATATAAAGAATGCCCACATGGTCAATGCACCACACCATTCATTTATGTGGGCCAACCAGTGACTCAACATACCTTCTGAAAGTTGTTGACAGTAACAGACTGGGAAAAAGTGGGAGGGTTATTTTCAAGCAATTTTTAATGCAAACATAAATTCTTTCATTTAAAAATGCCAATCTCAATTATTTCAAAAGAAATTCCTATTTTCCACAAAATCATGGGTTTCTTTTTTAATGATGATAAAGTGAATCTCCTAGATTTTAAGGCAGACTGAAAATCAGGAGTAGCTCAACACTTCATAGCCTCCATGGCAACTGTGGAGCTGTTCCAAAACATATCCCTCTGCACTTATATAGCAGGACGTATTCTCTCCATATTTTTTTAATTGGAGAGAAAAAAGTGATTAAATGTGAGGAAAATGTTCAGTCATGGACAGGTAATTTACCTGTTTGGATTTACATGAACTCTTAACAAGAAAACAGGAGGGCCTAACTTTGAAGCAAGATGGAACCAAATAGTTCTGGATTGCCTTGCAGGAGTTTCCCACTGCTTGAGCTACTGATTTGTTGAAGCCCTCATCAATCTATGAAAAAGGGGAATGATCCAGGTGGTTGACACAACTGCTCCTGCTTACTGATAGAGCCAAGCAAGCTTCCTGGTTTCCAAAGAGCGCGGGGTAATGGAACAGGGCTCATGAATAGAGCAATAATGGAGGAAAACACAGGAAAAAAATAACACAAGCTAGGGATTTTACTAAGGTCTATGCTGTGACAATGATGGTGGAGAAGATATAATATTCTCCCATTAACATGGTTTTCAAACAGTTAACCAGAGGAGCTATTCTAATTAGTTAAAAGCACAGGCCAGTTAGAGTTGAAGACTCACTTTGCTCATTCTAATTTTGCTAGACACTTGGATACCATAATTATTGCAGTTGCTAATGATGCCAGTGGCATCTGCTTGTCCATTCATGTTGGACAGGCTTCAAACTGTACATCCTGAAAATGATAAGACAAAATTAACTACTTGTATGTCTGCATCTTGCCAAGGGAGGCTTAGTTGAGGAGGTAAGAAGAGTGGTAAATGCTTCCTTGGAAGAAAATATAGTTTGTTCCTATATGAAAGAAAGTCATAGTACCACCTTTCCTGAAAAAAGCTTTGGATATCACCATACAGGGTAATTCCCAGGCAAAATTCCAATATGTACTAATTATAATTAGTTTAGATTGAATTGCATATTCAACTACTGTAAATTGTTCTGAGTGTTACATGGTGATTTTGTCTTATCTTCAAATCTGAGAGGTTTGTACTCAGTGTTAATAAATCCTGCAGAGAAATGGGATTTAGCTTTGTAGATAGAAATCTGTGGCACCAAAGAATGCAGCAGCAGTTGTATACACAGATTTTCAGATTCCCCCCTTCCCCACACTTCCCAGTATGGATCATTACAGGCCATTAATCCTATACTGCCTTGTGCAGAGGACATGATACTGCACAACATCACTTCCTCATTTTCTTCTATGAATAGGAGAATGCTAAGCTTGTGTAAGAAGGAAGTTTGGTTTAGGTGTTTCCCTTCATGGAAGTGAACAGGAAGCTCCACTGTGAGATACCACCCATAATGTAAACAAACCCTAAGAGCACAGACTGACTAAACAGCTTAGCCTAACTTTAGCTAAATGTATGTTTCAGCAAAAAGGAAGCAAATGGAAGAGAAGAGGGTGCTGCATTCACTTGGGTTTTCCTAATGTCATATCCAAACACTTATCACTATTCAAAGCTTTATGATGATTCTGATACACCATGTGAATGATCTGAGGAAAAAGCAGTTCACATAAAGTATATTCATGTGAGTCCAATAATGCCGGAACCACAAACTCTTGCAAGATTCTGGCCCTGCTATAACAAAGGAAAATCACTTGTTTTTTCTTTTCACACAAAGGGAGCTGTAATCTTGAAATTCTCAAAGTACATTAAATAGAAGTTTTTCTAAAAGTTGTGTGTGGGGTGGTAGCATGGTAGCACAAAAGTACTTGATCACAAAAGGAACGTGCCCCCCCCTCTTTAATAGTTACTGCTGGGTAGGGACTCTGTGTCAGACAAAGACAATTTCCCCTGGTTCTTAAGTGACATATTTATCTACCAACAAACTCCTCTTAACTTCAGAAACCTATTGTTGGATTGGTCCTCCAACAGCTTTTGCCACTGAGCCTTCTGCTTGTACTTAAAAATGGGGGTAAAGGAATTCAATAGAACTAGTACATGTTTAAAAGCAAAATCACTTGCCATCCTAACTTAAAAGTCAAAAGGATGAATTTTTTTCCAGTGGTTCCCATCTATTCAAAACACCAATGAAATGTAAGCTTGCAGAATTATTGCATTCAGAAGAAAAGATCACTGAACTTATCTCTCATTTGTTTATACCTTAATAGTACTTAAATAAGGCATTAAATAATTACTCATGCACATTAAAAATTAAGAATTCAGAATCTTATTCCATGTGAAAGATGGGCAGAAATGGAGTACCAGCACTACACAAAGTCCATTTCTGAACTATTACATTTTCAAAAGGTGATGAGGAAGGTTGGGAGGAAATACACCCAAATTTGAGGTCTGATACAACATCATTTGTAAAATCCAATCCAAGGAAGAGCAAGGAAGAGCAAATAGAATGAGACCTTGTTTGAGGGACAAATGCTAACAAAAAAAATCTGCCTGGAATTTCTCACATTCACTTTACAGCAATGGAAGCATTAGAAAAAGAAAAGCAAACTGTTTCAAGAGGACAAGAAAGGAGAGAAAAAATATAGTACATGGGAACAGAGAGAGAGAAGATTCTGACTGCACGAAAAAAAGCCTGTAAAACAAGGTCAGGGAGTGCATATATATGATAAAAAATATTTTTAAAAAACTACAGAAATAGTTCAGGCACACAACAACTCCTGCACAAATGCTGGGATAACAATGGAAAAACTGTATCTATTTTACTACTGTCGACTTGGGGAGGGGGGTGGCAATCGCTCCCATCAAACTCCTGCTATCTCTTTCTAAAGTACCAGTACAAACAAATTTAGAAGAATCCACCGAAATTGCTGCAGTTTTCCCTTTTCCCACTAGAGGAGGCAACAGCATAACTTCTTTACCATTTGGTGGATAAAATACAGCATATTCTTCCATTCCAAGTTTCCCTGTGAAAAGAGCAGAAAAATTATCGACACACACACTGCGAAGAAAATAAAGGGGTTTTGACTTAATATTATTACTCTAATAGATGAAAAGGAGTAAAATATAATTGGAAGTTTAGGAAGAACTGTGATACAGAGTTGCAAAACAGCAATCTACCTAAGTAAACAGTAACAATGGAGTTACAAATAGTGCAAACAGAAACCATGAATGAACTTACATACAAAAATATGTAACATGTATTGAATTAATATGCGAACATACCTTAAGCCTTATCAAATCACTTAGTGTTTGGGGGCGCTATGCTGCTCTCCATTTCTGACTCAACACACAGGCAAATCAGAGGTTCATGGATGGGAGCACAAACTGAGTGGACTACTGAGGTTCAAGTACTGAATGTTAAAGTAGACACGATGCAAGAAATCTTCCCCAATTTTTTTCCCCATTTCAAAACAGTCATGTGATGCTACTAGTTTCACTGAGGAACTCGTCCTTGGGCATGGCTGTCACGAACATACATTTGTAGATTTCATTTTAAAGAAACTAAACTACACCTATTTAATATTAAATATAATATTTGATATAAATTGTCATTAAAGTGCTGACATGATTCACACATCTGCACCAAACACAATTGAAAACAAAGAACAGAAAAAGGATAAATATACCAGCTGCCTTTACTATCACCAAAAAAAAAAGTACTTGGATATGTATACATGTATATCTTTATCTCAGCAAAGATCAAAGCAGCTGCAGTTTATCACAGAAAAACAATGCAAGGTAAAAATATTTTCTCCTGTACACTGGCCTTCTGCTTCAAGACTGCAGCTTCATTGGCTGCACTGTACAGAATGAAAAAATAACACTAACACCCAAAAACAGTTCATGAACGTACACACAATGACCTGATTCCCATGATCATCAGTGGATACCCAGGTTCCCATGTCATCCAAATTTGGATGGCACTGCTTGTTTGAGAAGCTGTTTCGGGCTGTCTGAGAGTTGTTTCTCAAAATAATAAACCATGATGCTCAGGTTAAGACAACACAACATGCCAAAACCAGGCAAATCATTATACAAATCATACCTGGCCACCATGTTAAGTCAGAGATGATCATACAAACCAGCTGAATGAGTATTTGCACGCTATGTCAAGACTGCGCAACTTGTGATCTAGAATGCCAGATGAAACCTGGCAGCCATGTGTTGTAGACTGTCAGGTGTTTGGCAACCGCCTTGTTTTTGTAGTCCCAAAGCAGGCAGTACAAATAAGTGCATATTTATTGTGGACCATGCATACATTGTGCATAACAGTCTTGGCCCAGGAAGCTCTGGTTCCAAATCCCAGTGCAGTCATGACCATCATCATCAGGTCAGAAGTGGGCCACACAAACCACAACTGTTCATAACTACTATAATGAAATATCTATTTATTTACCTCGAATGTATGACTTGGGTGGAGTAGCACTATTGTATGCAAAGTGTTCCAATACTGAGGTATCTCGAGAAAAACAAAGTAATACCTGCAAAAATATTAACATAGGAATGATCAGAAACTGATCTGAAAACAAAATCACCTTTAATTGTTGGTAGCACTGAAATTGGCATTTTCTGCAAAACAGGAGTATGCCACAAAATATAGTGCCACTCCTAGGTTAGCCAATTCAGTCCTAACAACTGCATTCTGACTACTCGGACGAAGTACATGAATTCCCAGTAACATGCAAATACATGAGTACACGTAAACTGACTCTCAGACATGGAGCAAGGGGCACATAATTCAAACAACAGGCCTGCTTGTACTTTGTAATCAAATTAGATACAGTACAGAAGACCTGTGTTCACATCTCTTTGTTTACTATTTTGCTTAAAAGCAGCCACAGAGAAGCTCAAACTGGATCAGGACTACTGTACGTGCAAAGGAAGAGTTAAGTTTTCCCCCACTCTACAAACGCACCATTTCCCTCACTTAAATCACACCTACACACAAAACTGCTATTTGTCCTGCAGGCAAACATACAGGTCTGCACCAAATTAATTTTCAGGAGCGTTTCCATCTCTTGAAAGTCTAAACAAAAGAACTAGCTTTTTAGGCAACTAATGTAACTCTGAGCAGGAAGCACAGTTTACTTGCCTTCACTTTACTCAGAATGCTTTCAATACCATGGTAATGTTTCACTGAGCATCATCCGCTCAGGCAGTTCCTTTTTGTTTAATATTTTATAAACACGGTCTTTTGATAATAATATTTGTCAAAGAAAAGCAAAAATGTCTTAAAACACTATGTATCTGATAGAGGACATAATAATTTTTGTGGCTGAGATATGGTTTCACCTTCTTGAACAGCTTACTAATTTGCAGATTTACATTTTTTCTGGAGGACAAAGTGTCTTTATCTTGAACAAACACTTTAATCCCAACATTACTTATCAGCTTGTGATCCTATCCAAACTGTTACAATATAGTACACCCAGCAAAGTAATAATAATCAGGAAAAATTAACAGCTAATTTATAACAACTGAACAGCAAGCAATTAGTGTTGGCCACAGTTCAGAGTGTGGGTCCACACACCGTTGCTTCCTGCCTGCTACTGAGCTGCAAAGACTCCATTTCCATCTACACAGGAACTAGTGTTAGCCTCTTGGCCTTCCACAGGAAGAATGAGGTGTTCTGTCTTTCCATAAATGAGTTTTGACATTCCTGAACATATGGGCCTTGGCAAGCAACCAAGTGCTGCCCCTACAGGGAGTGCTGCAAGGGGAGGGGGGTTAAGTTGAAAGGTGGATCCTCATCTACAAAACTGAGTATTCATGTTGCTCTTCAAAGAGAAAAGGGAGGCCACATATTCTGCCCTGCATCACTGAACATCATTCAAAATCATTGAACAGCTTACTTAAAATGGTTTTCAGGAGAGGAAACGAACTAATTAGACCAGACATTGCTTGCAATCCAGTCTACTCATGTTCATCACTACCCTGATGTGATGGAAAATGCTGCTGTAATGAGGAATTATGAAAATGGAGGAAGCAGATTGTTTCCCTTCACAGCTGAGACACACAGTCACACTTTTCTATCATATTTGTACAGTTTTCAAACTGCTGATACTGGATCAATAGGCCCCAGCACAGAGCTTATACTAACTGCTGGGTAATATCAATGTGGGCAGAAAGGAGATTTGAATGGGGAAGGATTGGCTTGCAGGCAGGTGTTTAACTCTTCCTGCACTAATTAATCTTGCCCAGAAAATTCCCCAATAGTTAATGGCTAAGAGATCTAGAGGAAAAGTGGCATTTTGAGAGGAGTGTGGGGCAAGTCAGGAAACTCCTCCTTTCCCTTGCAAATGACCCATATTTATATGAAAAAGCAAGTATGAGTCATGAACAGGAATCTCTCTCCCTCCCCTCCCCAGCAGACACAAATGAAACTTTGGAAGAACAGTTAAAATTAAACATGTTACAGAACAATTTACACACACACACACACACACACACACACACACACACACAGAGTGTTCTCTTTGAGATGTGGGTGAAGCATCTGTCCATGTAAAGAGCTGAATACAAACAAAAACTTCCCTCCTCCCCTCTCTTTCAGGCGCCACCCTCCAGGTGGCTTCTCCTGCTTGAGGATTATATTACACAAATGCTGGACACATCATGACGAGTCCACTTGCTTTGCTTGTCAGCTCTTGACTAAGTCAAGGAACTCTCCATCTCCTCCACCCCAGTTCTGAAACACCTTCCTTCTTTTCTAGTGCAGACTGGTTCTCACACACTGCCTAAGAATCTTTGCTAAGCACCAAGTCATCTGCCCACCTCTGCCCTGCTGCCCACTCCTCAGAATTGGACAAAGCTATCTGCACAGATTCTAATGTGTGAGAGCAGGGCCCCTTCTTTACAATATGTATAAATACATAGACTTCTGTTCTTAGATAGCTGCCCAAAATTGTTACGGTCAAACTTTCAAGATTACGTTTATTTCTCATCATTTTTTTTCTTTTTGAGTTGATGAATTATACACCCAAGTGCATGCTCAACTGAAAAATTTAGTTTATACTAAAGAGACTTGCAGGAGTGGAGTTTGCAAATAAAAAATTGACTTTGCATATTTATCCATTTTCTCTATATCTTCATTTTTGACCTTGCAGGATTTTGCACAGCATTCTGACAAAGATGAGTCCATTCTGTTGCTACATTTCAGAGCTAACCCATTTACAATATTGTATTTGAGCCTTTCATCCATCAAAACTGTTAAGAAATCATGAACTCAAATATTTATTAATACCAAATCAAAAAACTTCTTGATTACACAACATTATACTTTTTCCAAAGTGTCATAACAGAATGAAAACCTAACAAAACACTTATTTCAAAACACTTATTGAATACAAGTTGACCTGCCAGAAAATATTGTAGGACATCCTCATCCCCTGACATTAGAATTTATGTTCGGTATACGAGACAGACATGGTCTACCCCCAGGATACTAGAGGCCAATTCACTCTACCTCTTCCTGGAAGTTTTGCATTTCCCCCCCTCAATGGCCTGTCAGTATTCTATAGCCAGTGAACATGCTCCAACTTCACTTAAGAGGACTCCCCACACTTAGAACATACTCTCACAAAGAAATAATTTGTATTCTTTTCATGCATCCCAAAAAACTTATGTATCTTTTTGGGGTCTTCTGCTGATCCTGTCTGCCTTTGCAAGAGAGTGGTGTTGTTTTGGCTAAATTAGGATCTATTATGTGAAGAATGGATTGAAGGCAAAGAAGAGGAAAACTAAGTAGGAGATGGATTGATTCCATAAAGGAAGGCACAGACTTGAGTTTACAAGAGCTGAGTAGGACTGTCAAGGACAGAGCATTTTGGAGGGCATGCATTCACACAGTCACCATAAGTCAGAGACAACTTGACAGCACATAATGACATTTAAGGGAACTGTATCATTGCTCAAGAGGCAAAATATTTATTTATAAAAAGCAGAATACAAATTAATTTTGCTAAAATTTTCTTCCCACACTAAATTCACAGGGCTACACAGATTAAGCCTCTCCTCTAAGGAATGATATATATTCAGCAAACTTATTTTACATAGCTACAAAGAAAAAAATGACAAGCCCACCCTAATAGCTGTAACTAATTGAGCTCAAAGTACCATATAAATTAGATGCTTCCTCCATGACATTTATATTGACATTGCAATCAAATGCACATTAGGAAATCTGCAAATGTAATAGGCTTCCATTCAAGGAGATTTAAAAGAATATAGACAATTCCATACAAATTAGAAGGCTTCCCTTTACTGGAAACAAAGTAAGAAAAAAACCCAAAAAATACAGATGCTTTTTTATTTAGATATACACCATCTCATCCCAAGTGCTCAGGGATCCAGTTATTAAAAAGTCTAGGATCCATTTAAGATCTATGAGAGCTAATAATTCAAACTACATGCCCTGCCCCCATCCCACAGGTAATTTATCTATGAACTCCCCACATTAGTTTGTGGCTTCTGGTTATCTTCAACTTCAAAGTTAACTATTATATATGTTTGCAATCCACAGGCAGAGCTGAGGGATTTCTTACTAGACAGCGGTTCATAAATCCATTCAATTGTAGCAGTAAGCCCATTAGATTGCATTTCTCTTTATATATTCTAGGAGGTAGGCACCACTGACCTCAGTGAAATGTACTTCTGGGTAAGACATGCATGGGACTGTGTACTTAGTTTACTTGGAACAACTTTGGGTGTTATTAGTTTTAGTTGGCTTATGCTTTGCATGGAACCAAGTGGACATTACATACATCATTTTTCGATAAATAAATTACACAATAGCAGGAATTACTCACCTGATATAAATAATCCTCAAACACAAAGTAGTAGTCATCATTACTGGCTGTTAGTTTCACATCCTGCAATCAAAAACCATAACAATTTGAAGCTGAGCGACATCCTTCCCATCTGGGAAGTTCCTACAAAAGTGTAAGCATAATAATCCAGCATTGTAATAAGCATTTCAGTCACTTACTGGGCAAAACCTGCTGTCAATTTCTAATTTCCAATACACAGAAACTTTCTATTAGCCTAATCATGACAGTGTAATGGAAGAAAACTATACACATATCTTCATATGTAGTTTGGAGTTTTCAAACCCTTCCACTAAGATTGGGAATACAAAGTATCTCACAAATAACAATTTCAATGTATTCCCTAACAGTTACAAACTCAGAATAGCTTGCACATCTTTTAAGAATATACTCGTAGACATGGATCCAATTAACTGTACCACTTATCATGTACACTCAAGTGTGTTCTGGGTTTGTATTTCTGATATAGCAGGCTTCCCTCATGACACAGCAATCTTCTAGAAGCCAAGGAAATGTCTCAAAGGAAATCTGTGATATTGTCTTGAGTTCCCCACATAAAACATTTAAAAACTAGGCAAACACAAGCACCTTAGCTTCTTGGAATCAAGCCACAGAATATAAATTGTACTTGCTGTTTTTGGCACGCTTTCCAACTATACTGCAAAATTTTTGAGGTGCTGCTAGCACAATGTATATAATGCTTATATCATGCTTTTTGATGAAGGCATCCCAATATTGGCATTTGCCAGTTTGTTACCTGTTCACCCAATTTAGAGATAATCTTTTGAAAGCTCCTCAAAGTTTCTTTTATTTTTACCAGCCTAAATTTGGTGTTATCAGCAAACTTGGCCACCTCATCGGTCACTCTTACTTTCAGATCATTATGAACATACTTAAAAAAGACAACAAAGATACTTAGGAAACGCCACTGAACATCTCTACAGTTTGACAATTGTTCATTTATCCCCATTCTCCTCCTGTTCTATAACCAGTTACCAGTCCAAAAGAGAACCCACACTGTTTGGATAAATTTTCTTAGAAGTTTTTGGTGACAGACTACCATTTTTTTAAAGTCCAAGTATACAACGTCTACTGGATCAATGTCATCCACGTGTGCATTCATACTCTCAAAGAAAGTGAAACAGGCAAGATTTGCCAAATCCCCTTTGATCCCTTTTTAAAAGGGGGATTCGGTGTTACGTGGGTTGTTTTCCAGTCCTTTGGTCAACCTTAAGTCCATCTTACATATTTTATAGAATGTTACATTTTTAAAGCCTATTAAAACTACAGAGAAATAGGGCCAGTAGTGATATTATGATTTGATCTGCAACTGCAGATCAAATGGAGTTTAATGGAGTTAAACTTGGACCAACTTACCACCTTTGGTAAGTTGTACAGCCTGCATCTCCCAGACAGAACATCATGAAAGTGGAATGAATAAACAGATAAATAAGATCAAACTGACCCCATATACAGGCTAGAATAAAAGCAGTTGTGTGGAACTTAACATTAGGATAAGAGTTTGTACTTCCTTTTGTTTCTAAGTATGGTGTGTGTCCATCTTAATGTAAGGCTGGACCACCTACCTCTTGGCAGAGTGCTTTAGACCCAAGCAAAAGACCCAAAACATATACATGAAGGCAAAGGGAAGGCAAGTGCCCCCCTTTGAGGAGTACTGCCCTCCAAGATTACCGTATATATCAGTGTATAAGGTGACCCATGAAACCAAAAATAGCAAAGCAAAAATTGGGGCTTGTCAAATGTCAGGCATATATGACAAACACCAGAAAAAAAGCCCAAAATATAAACCTTCTCTTAAACACTAGTTACCTTATATGCTGATATATATGCTAGTGGCATAACAACTCAGCAAAAATACTACAAATTTAGAAATTTACTAGTATTATATGTATGTATCATATTCATAAACTGCTCAATAACAAGCATGCTTTGGCCAATTTACAAACAAAAACATGCAATTTTAAATAAACCTTTTCATAAACCTTATAATACATGCCTTTGCAATCAAGGATTCTGACACTTCTGTTCATTGTATCAAGTGTCAGTTGTGGCCGATAAAAAAAATACGTATCCTGACTGACAGAGAAAATTATGTAAATCAGTATCACTTACTTTATATATCAGACTGTCCACCAAAAGATCATGCTGGATCACATTTGACTTGAGTTGTTCATAGTACAAAATATCCTAAAATGGTATAATCAGTAATTCTAAATGTTAATTATATGATACTTAAAACAAATGACACAGTATGGAAATCTAAGCCATGCTGACTGGAACATACTGTGAGTTGTAGAATTTTCTTCTGTCTAAACATGCAGAGGGTTTACATCCTTAATATAGTAAATCCCAAAATATAAAAAGTTAAAAGAAAATACCTTAAAACAAAGAACAGACTCACCAAACATATCTGGACACAATCAGAAAAAAAGTGTTAAAAGTAAATTATGAACATCATTGGGGGATGCTTTATGTATGTCAATAAGGACCATAACCTTTTTTGAGACAAAGCAACATAAGATTTCTTTTTGTGAGCTTAATATTTAAATACAAGTCACTTCATTCTACATAAGCAGACACTTACTGGGTTCAGACACCATGATATCTTACACTAAAAGGTTGCATATAGGGTGACTGTGAGTTATCACTGAACCATGGGTTGTTGTTAAACATAGATTATTGTGTTGTGTGAACCCAGAGTCACAAACCATGATTTGTTACGAAGACTCCACAAAGGATGCATGAAGCGAACCCATGGTTCATTGTTAGGTTGTGAACTATGAGTTGTTCATGGTTAATGGAAAGCAAGTTGCTTACCTGTAACTGATGTTCTTCAAGTAGCCATCTGTGCAGTCACACATGTGGGGTACTGCACCTGCGCAGTGCCTTTGGTCGGAAGATTGATAGCTAACGGTTTTGGTGGGAAAAACTCCCCTCCCCTCCCCCCTAGCAGTATATATGGAGCCGAGTGTCCGCCATTTTCCAGTCTTTGATAGACCAGACATTCACTCTCTAGAGAAAAAAAGTGGAACTAATGAAAAGAAACGATGTCGGTACCGACGACAAGTTTGAAAAATACTGTATAGGTACCGAGCACAAGAATAACACGGTACCGAAAAGAAAACACCACCCAGTGACACCGAGCGGGGCCGGAGGGTGGGTTCTGTGACTGCACAGATGGCCACTTGAAGAACATCAGTTACAGGTAAGCAACCTGCTTTTCTTAGTCGTGGCCTCCGTGCATCACACATGTGAGTACATTAACAAGCTTACCCTGAATGGAGGAGGGCAGTGTCATCAACGAAGAATAGATGAAAGAACGGCTCTGCCGAAGGAAAAGTCCTGCCTGGCACGGACATCCAGTCGATAATGCTTTGCAAATGTGCATGGGGTGGTCCAGGTAGCAGCTCTGCAGACAGCGTCAATCAGAACTCCAGATGCGAAGGTGGAAGAAGCAGCCACAGCTCTAGTAGAATGACCCCTCGGGATCGTAGGTAAGTCCAACTTAGCTAACTGATAAGAGAGAATAATGGTTTGTACTATCCACTTAGAAAGTTGAGGGGTGACTGGAGAACCCTGATTCAGAATATTTCACAAAGAGCTTGTTGGAGTGCCGAATAGACTCAGTCCTTGATCTATAGAAGGCAAGGCAGCGCCGTACATCAAAGGTGTGTAATGACCTGTCGATCGGATTCAATGGAGATGGAAAAAAGGCAGGTCAAACGATTTCCTGGTCCATGTGGAAGGAGGTAGCCACTTTGGGAAGAAAGGCTTGATCCATTCGTAGAACTACCTTCTCCTTATGGAAGTTCAAATACAGAGGATCCACCCTGAGGGCACAGAGCTCACTAGTTCTCCATGCTGATGTAACTGCTACAAGAAATGCAGTTTTCCAAGAGACGAGACGGAGATCGATTGTTGCCAAAGGTTCAAAAGGAGGTCTTGTTAGCGCTTGTAACATCACTGAAAGACTCCAAGTGGGCATAAGTGGTCTGACAGCCGGATGAAGGCTATGTAGCCCCTTAAGGAATCTCTTTATTAGCAGTTGAGAAAAAATGGAGGAACCCTGGATAGTACCCCGGTAATAGGAAATAGCTGCCGTGTACACTTTTATGGAGGATGGCTTAAGTCCTGACGGGTGGAGTTCGAACAGGAACTGGAGAATATGATCCATAGATGCTGAATGCGGGAGAAACGATCGTGATTCAGCAAAGATAGAGAATCTACGCCACTTAGCCGCATATGATTTCTGGGTGGACAGCCTTAGCGCAGAATCAAGAATGTGTTGGATGTCCAGGTGAAGAACTGTCTGAGCCGAGGAAACGGCCATCGGAACTGAAGACGTGGGGAAGGCAGGCGGATTCGAAGCATGGCATAGTATGTCGGATTCAGGGGCAGGATTTGTAGAGACTGTGGACGACGTCGATACCGTGTCAAACGGACCGCTATCGAATTCGCCAGGCCGTCAACCTCAGTGATGTCAGATCTGGGTGGCGAATTGTGCCTTCTCGCCTGGTAATGAGATACGGAATGGATGGAAGTTGAAGGTATTCTTCTCGAGAGATGTGAAGGAGTGTCGAAAACCATGCTTGGTGTGGCCACCATGGGTTATTAATATTCCTGTGGCCGCGTCGTAGATTATCTTCGAAATCACTCTCATAATGAGGGGAATCAGGGGGAAAAGCGTAAAAGTGGACATTGTTCCACAGGATCATAAAGGCATTTCCGGATGACCCGTCTGATTCCCGCTCTCGAACAAAAAACCTCGTAGTCCCGGTTCTTCTGGGTAGCGAATAGGTCTATGTCTGGAAGACCCCATTGCTGAAAAAGGTGGTCGCATGTCTGGCGATCCAGTTCCCATTCGTGGGATGTGGACATGTGTCTGCTTAGGAAATCAGCTTCCACATTGTCCATACCGGCGAGGTGCACCGCGATCAGGAAGATGTCTCTCTGGATACACCACTCCCAGATTTGTATCGCTAGCCGTGCTAACATTGGCGACTTCGTTCCTCCTTGCTTGTTCAGATAAAAGACTGTAGCGATGTTGTCCAAGGTTATCTGAACGACTCGATGGCGAAGAACGTCTTCGAAGGACTGAAGAGCCTTGTATACTGCTAGAAGTTCCAGGAAGCTGATATGATTCCTGGACTCCTGTCGATTCCAGACACCCTGAGTGCGTAGGCCCGAGCATAGTGCTCCCCAGCCAAGCAGAGATGCGTCGGTACCGAGACTCGCCGTCGGGCATCGCAGTTGGAGTGGGACTCCAATATTCAGGTTGTCTGGCACTGTCCACCATATGAGAGATTGAAGAACTGAGGACGGAAGTCGAATCAGCCTTCTGGGCAAATCCCTTTGTGGCCGAAAAACCTTGTTGAAGAAAAGTTGGAGGGGCCGAAGCCGAAGCATGGCATACGGAACGACAGCAACGGATGCAGCCATATGCCCTAGCAGCCTTTGGACAGAATGTGCGGGAATGATTTTGTCTCTTCGAATTCGATGGATGTGTCGAGCGAGGGTGCGCTGTCTGTCCCGGGGGAGGAATGCCTTTGCTACCGTAGAATCCAGACGAGCTCCGATGAAATGGATCACCTGCGTAGGAACAAGAGAGGATTTCTCGCAGTTAATACAAAGTCCGAGATCCCGTAGCAGGGAGCAGGTAACGTTTATAGCAGAACACAGTGCTTCTCTGGTTTGAGAAACCAACAACCAGTCATCAAGGTAGGGGTATATCTGGACCCCGCGAAGTCATAGGTGTGCACAGAAAGGGGCCATACACTTTGTAAAAACCCTCAGGGCAGTGGCTAGTCCAAACGGAAGCACCGTGAATTTGTAGATTTCAGATGCAACAGCAAAATGGAGGAAATGCCTATGACACAGATGAATCGAAATATGAGAATAGGCGTCCCTCAAGTCCAATGAGGCGAACCAATCCTCCCTCCTCAGCAGCGGTAAGATATTTTGAAGAGTGGTCATCCGAAATTTCTTTGGGGTTATAAATTTGTTAATATCTCTTAGGTCCAATATTGGCCAGAGACCTCCCTCCCGTTTCGGGACAGTAAATTATCTGGAATAGAATCTGTGGAGTCCTTCTGGTAGAGATAAGCAACGAATGGCTCCCTTGGAAAGGAGTTGTCGAACCTCTTCCAGCAACACCGGTGAGCTGGGAGTAAACCAGATGGGACTCGATGGAGGAATGATGTCAAATTCTATTTGATATCCATGCTGAATCATGGATAATTCCCAACGATCAGATGTAATGGACTCCCAAAAGGGAAGCCGAATTTTCAGCCGGGCCCCAAATGAGAGGGGGAAGGGTGAGGTTGGGAGAAGAGGAAGGGTTCACCCACCCCATCAGCGCTGACGTTTATCCCCATCAAAGTGACGACGGCTTTGCTGGAAGCGCTGGGACGGTTGCTGCCCACGATGTTGTTGGCGTTGCTGTGGTTGCTGTCGAGGCTGGTATTGTTGGCGGTATTGTGGACGGGTCCATGACCACTTACGTCGAGGCTGGGACTGTAGTTCCATACAACGGGCCATCATCCTCGATTCGTGGATTTTCTTCAATTTGCTGTCGGTCTTCGCATTGAAGAGAGCAGACGTGTCAAAGGGCATCTCCTCGATTCTCCATTTCATTTCTTCTGGAAAGTTGCAATTACACAACCAGGCATGCCTGCGGAGAGAAATGGCACCGACGAGAAACCTCAAGTCCGTATCCACATGGTGCCTGGCTGTAGAGAGCTGCTACACCACAACTTGCATAGCCTCTTTTACGAAAACCCTCGCCAAATCGCCTTGATTGTCTGGGAAGGCGGCAATGATGTTATCTAGGCACTGCAGGAGAAAGTAATGATAGCGCGCCAAAGTCGCCTTGTAATTTGAGATTCGCAGGCCGAGCCCAGAGGCCGCATAGATCCGGCGTGCGAAGGAGTCGACTTTCCTTCCCTCCTTATCACGAGGCGCAGTGTGGCCCCGTGCCTCCCGGCCTTGACAAGACTCCACCACGGTCGTTCGCCTTGGGGTGGCGGAGGAGGAACATAATGTCCTCCTCCTGAACCCGATAGATGGCTTCATATCTTCCTGAAGTCGGTTGTGGATGAGCCGGGAGGTCCCATGGCTGGGTCATCGCCTGCCATAGGGTTGTTATGAAGGGCAGGGCGATGGAGGTCGATTGTTCACCCCTGACCACA